GGGAGAGAGGGAGGGAGGGAGGGAGGGAGGGAGGAAGGGAGGGAGGGAGTGAAGAGTGGCCTGACCACTCGTACCGTAGCTCGCGCTTCCGGATTCTCCTCGACTCCGAACATCTGTAAGAAGTATCGCGTCACGGTTGTGAGATAACGGTTGCGAGGTAACGGTTTCAAATTGTAACAGCCGCAGGCCTTTCCCTTTCTCCCCGGGAGGGGAAGGGCTCCCGTGAAAGTGAGTCAGCCCACCCTGAGCCTCTGAGGAGGATTTCTCCATACCAGAACACAAATAGCTTGCATGGAATGAGGCAACGAAGCGACAGGGAGCAAGCACCTTCCCTTCTTCCCTCCCTCCCTCCCTCCTTCCCTCCCTCACCGTCCGGTGCCGGACGTACTCCTCCTTCATCCCCTGCAGCTCGCGTAACGTGTGCCGGTACTCCTCCATCGCATTTTTATAACACCTGCGGAAGCATTTTTGGTCCTCCACCCTGCGCGAGAAAAGAGCATAGGAAGACCAGACCGGGGTCAATCAGGATCGGCCCATGTCTATTTTTATGCCTTTCCCCCCCCCCTCTCTCTTTAAATTCCAAACTTGCGGACGGCATCGGAGACGAGGTAGTTGGCGGTCATTCCATGGTACGAGGCTATCACGTCCCCATGGTACTCGTTGAAAAAGACAACGAGGATGTTTTTGGAGTCGAGCCACCCCATCACGTTACACTGCCTCACCGTGCTTCTCCTCCTCCTCCCGAGAAATACACATCCTACGCTTTCCCTTCCCATCCCCTCCCTTCTCCGACCGCACTCTTCTCCTCCCTCTTTCCTTCCCTCCCTCCCTCCCTCCCTTTCTCCCTTCCTTGCGTCTTCTCTCCTCGCCCTCCGGACTCACGAGACGCGTTCCGTTGCTTTGGAGGACGATTGCCCCATGGCCCTTCACCTTCCGTCGTGCCACAGCTTATGTGCCGGTGCTCGCACACCTGCTTGGAGTTAAGTGTCATTCCAAAACCCTTCAGAAATGCCATGCTGTAGGACCAGCAGGCGCCAACATTGGTGGTCCTAAAAATGCAATGTATCCCCCTTCGCCCCCTCCAGTGACCAATCAAGTACAAGCTCCACGGCATCCTCCGAGAGAGGAAATGATCGATGACGGTCACACATGAATACGATTCCCCTCCCTCCTTCCCTCCTTCTCCCCCCTCCTCCCATCTCCCTGCTCGACGCCATCTGATTAAATTTATGCCCGCTCCTTGCCCCATAGGAATATCTCTCGGCATCCGGTCTCTTTCATACTGCCTTACCTTCTGGATACTTAGCTTGTAAGCCCGCTCTCTCAAGGTGGGATGAAGCTCAGGACTCTTGATGTACCTTGTGGTGCGAAGGGAGAGGAAATGCTTGAGTCTCTGCTTTCCTTTGAGGACTTTGCTCTTGCCTAGGCGAGTCAAGAGCGCTATTAAGTGTTGCATGTATCTTCCTTTTCTCCCGGTTTTCACCACTCATGAATTGTTCTCAATTCGACCCTTGAGCAGCAAAAGCTATGCCAATAAAAAGGATCTGGGGTTGTCTTGGGCTTTCTGAGGTTCAGTGATACATTGTGCGTGACGTCGAATGCATTTATTTCATAGCCCCCGTCACTGAAAGGGCTCAAGGTCCATGTTTGGCCATTGACGCAAAAGAATACCGACACACATCATCCCGCTTCTTGCGTACCGTGCATCCTTGCGCTTTGTCAAGGAATTGACCCGCCTTCCATGGGTATCAGAGCCCCGTGGGGAAGGTTATTGTATGTTGTTGAGGGCCTCGCTACCTCTGCTATCGCTCAGGCGGGTATAGAGACATTTAACGTCCCAACGTCTTTTCCAACCATAAAGCCACTGAAACCACGCAAACAAGATCTTGAGGATCCCACATTCCTTCCAGATTCTTAAATATTGAGTTCCTTACCGAATGCCTCCCTGGTGGCTGGTTTTGAAAGCGGTTTACGGTCCTTTTGTGCACTCAATCAAATCAGAGCACTTGCCCCTTCGACGCACTCAGACCGATACCCCGCCCTCCTGAATAACATCTGCGATCTATCCAAACACATAGACCCTCGACGCACACAATCCTCGTCTTCCGCAGCGTCACTTTTCCTTCGACGCGGACCAGGTAGTGATATTTGCGATATCTCCCAAGACGGCGGATTTTTTTCTCATTTATTTATCGCAGACTTTCTCTCCCTCCCTCCCTCTTTCTTTTCCCTCAATCCCCTCCCTGCAAATCAAAGCATGCGTCCGAAACCTCCTACGTCTTCAGGGACGTCTACCCTCTCCTCCCAGCCGTCTCCTGCCGGCCTCCCTCCCCCTGTCATTGCCCCTGAGGAGAACAGCTCCCTGCATATGGGCCACCGCGCCCCTCCCTCCCTTCCTCTTCACGAGGCCAGCTCATGCTCCGGCAGCAATGCAATCAGCAGAGGCCGTTTAAAGGCATTCAATGAGACGAATCTCCTCCGCGAGAAGGAGGTACAGCCAGGGGCCGCGTCCTCCTCCCGCCCTTCCCCCTTCCCGTCCTCCTCCTCCTCCTCCTCCTCCTCCTCCTCCTTCATATTCTCCTCCTCCTCCTCCACCTCCTCGCCCGAACGAGGTGGCTCCCTCGACCACCCCCAGCCGTCAGGACCGGAAATGGAAGGCAAAGGACACGTGGGGAGGGAAAGAGAAATAACCAGGGTGGTGGAGTTGATGGCGTCCGAAGGAGGAAGGAATAACCATGAAAGAGGGGGGAAAGGTGATAGAATCCATGCAAGGAAGACAGAGGCAGTGAGGAAGGGTGG